AGTCCCCATCCCCGGGGGTGTTTTAAGAGCCGTGTAGATGTGGCACTTCAGGAGATGGTTTAGTAGGAACGGTGATGTTGGGTGGATGGTTGGACTCGATGAGCTTCGAGGTCTTTTCCAACCTGTGATTCTATTCTGTGATTCTCCAGCGGTCATCCCAGTTTTCTCTGGGAGGTGCTGGGTCCGTGGCAGCGTGGGCACGGCTTCTGACCACGGCTCTCCTTGCTTCCAGGTGACCTTCACCAAGCGCAAGTTCGGCTTGATGAAGAAAGCCTACGAGCTGAGCGTCCTGTGCGACTGCGAGATCGCCCTCATCATCTTCAACCACTCCAACAAGCTGTTCCAGTATGCCAGCACCGACATGGACAAGGTGCTGCTCAAGTACACCGAGTACAATGAGCCCCACGAGAGCCGGACCAACGCGGACATCATCGAGGTGAGGCCGCCCGTCCTCTCCCCGGCCCCCGCACCGCAGCCGGATGCAGGAGGTCGGTGCAGGGTGGGGATGGGAGCGAGCACATCTCCCAACACCCATCGCCGGGCTGATTTCGCATCTTTTTGGACCAGCGTACAAAAATACTCAGTTCTGGGTGGTAGAGTTTGAAGCTGTCTCGAGTTGTGCGTTGATCTGCTGCTGTAAAATTGAGGTGCGGGTTTGCTTCTGTCCAGGTGAACCAGGGATGGCTTTGGAGGCATCTCCCGGGGTTGCCACACTGGGGTGCCTTGGTGCAGCTGGTGGCTTTGCCTCTGTCCGTTGTTTCAGACACTCACAGTGGGGTTGTAGGAGGGCACCAGCGGCTTAATCACTGAGTAATTCAGGTTGGGAGGGACCTTTGGGTGCCTCTGCTCCAACCCCATGGGTAGGTGGAGTTCCTCAAGGCTTGTCCGGCTGCGTTTTGTGGCTCTCCAAGGATGGCGAGTCCAGTCTGACCAACGCCATCGCCGTGTCCACACCTCGCTGACACCCACGCCACACTCCTCCGGCCTGCCAGCGTCGCAGGAGACGCTTGACCACCGTCTGTGGTTGGTGACCCCACGCTGGCCCTCCCCACCACTTTGTCCTCATCCTTGGTGCCAGCAGAGCATCGCCAGGCTCGAGCCCGGGGCGTTTGGCCAGCCCCATCTCGACCATCGGTCGCGTCCTCTGCCTTGGCGATAGCCGCAGAGCGCCGCGCGGTTCTTGCTTTTCTTTTTTGCTTCTTTTTTCTTCCAGGAAACGGGTCTTTTTTGAGAGGTTTGGGCTCGAGGTTTCCACCTCGTTGTCTGCCCAGTCCCAACCGACGTCCCGCAGTGGGCTGAGCCACGGCCACGCAACCAGCAGCACCTCCCTGCCCTCACCAGGGCTTGGAGACTGCTCTGCCAGCGCACGGTTGTGTACGGGCTGAAGAAATGGTTCAAAAATGCCCTTTTTTGGCCTGTTTGAGCCAGGTAGTGCTCGTCTACTGGGAAGATGCTGGGATTTTGCCGGCGCGGTTCCCTGCCGTGCTCGTCAGCCTCACCCAGCCTCTCCGGGATGCTCAGACTGCGGCGCTCGCAGCGTCGAACAGATTTGTCTTGGCCTAAAAATACCGTAAACATTTTGGGCAGCGTTCTCTGTTCCCTTATGGTCCAAGATGCAAACACTCCCGAGCCGGCAAGTTACGCGCAGTCCTTGGCACCCAAAGAAATACTGTGTTTGCACCACATGAAAAGCTGGATCTGCATCCAAAGCCGAGGAGAGGAACATCGGGAGCGGAAGGATACTGGTGGATGGCAAGAAAAAGAGCCCGAACGCGCCGGGCTCGGCACGTCTCGCCGGCAGAGCTGCCTCGGAGCAGAACCTGCTGGGGTAGGGGCAGGGGTGGAGGCTGCTTGAGCTTCCCTCCCCATCCTCGCCTGGTCTTGGAGCAGGGTTAGGTCTGCTCGAAGGTTTTTACTGTTTTCTCTCCCAAATCCCCCTCCCCGGGGGACCGTTCCTGCTCCTGGTGCTGATTTCCATCTCCTCGCTCACCACCTGCCCTCGCCCAGGTCAGGTCCCACCGGCCCGGCTTTCCCCCCGCTGCACCCAGACCCAGTTCATCCCATGCTTCTTGGTGGCTCCTGCTTGAACTTTACCCTTCCAAGGACATCTTCCCATCCTCAGAGCTTCCCCAGCACCAAGCCATGAAGGCGCAGGCTGTGAATTTGCTACCAAATATGATTTTAAGTGGATTTTAAGGGGCCGCTGCATGCGTCTGCCTTCCCTGTGCCCCCTGTGGCCCCTTGCTGCCGGGGGGACGCAGCCCTGCGTGGCTCTGGCAGCGTCTCAGAAAGGACGAGGAGCGGCCGGGACCTGGGTGAATCCAGGCAGAAGCTTCTTGAATTTGTTTTCCTGGCAGAAGGGGAGCGAGCGGTGGCTCCGGAGGCTTGGCCGAGCCGGGGTCTCCTCTCCCAGCCAGGCTGGGGGGCTCGGGGGGCCGAAGGTACCGGTACCACCCGACTCCGGGCGGTACAAGTTGATCTGTTCAAATTCTGGTTTAAAACAGCAGAAAACATGAGATCCCCCTCTTTTTTTGGACCCCTTTTTTGAGGGGGGGGTCCTGAGGAGGTGCAGCCCGCGAGAGGCATCACGTGCTGCACAGGGATGCCCTCGAGGGGTTCATCTCCTGGATACTCGGGCAGAGCTGCTCCGGGATGAGCGTACCCCGGTTCCAGAGGGGTTCAACACCCCGGCTGCCTTTTGGGGACCGTCGGCCCCTCCGTGTTTCTCGGAGTGCAGCGGGGGGGTTTCCTTCGTCGGGCGGGGGACAGCTGAGGCCCCCGGACAGGCACGCTGGGTGCCACGTGCGCGCCCGGGCTGGGATCACGCCGGCTTTGCTCCTCGCTGTCGCTTCTCGTTTCCTCGCAGCCCGGCTGACGTGCCAGTTCCTGAGAAGGGACTTGGACGGGGGCAGAGCTAGCTGGGCTGGATGCTCCAGAGCCGGTCCGAGTCACGCAGCGACTGCTTTCCTTTCTTCGGATTAATATTCCGGGGGGAGTGGGATATTTCTCTAATTCTCCTTCCTGGGGATGTCGTGCCCCAGGGTGTGTGAAATCCGGCATTTTGCAGGATGCTGGGGAGGTGGCGAAGTGCAGAGGCAGCAGCCGGGGCCACATCTTCATCCTCATCCTCATCCAGACTTCCCCCAAAGCCTGGGGTGGTTGAATCTCCCTCCTCGAAGGGAAGTCGGCCGCATCCTGGTCGAGCATCGTTTCCTCTCGCGTCTTCTGCGTTTCCTGCTGCTCCCTCACCCTCTTCAGCTTGGAAATCTGCTCCCGTATGAGCCGGGATCTGCTCCCGTATGAGCCGGGATTGTGGGAGCCTGGAAAAGCGGGACCTGCAGTGGGCGCTGCCATGGGGGGACGCCCAACGGAGTGGGGGGACCCGGGGGGTGGCAGGGAGACCGACCGGTGATGAGCGGGGTTTTTTTAGCCACGTGAAGTTCTCACCCTGGTTTTCTCCTTTGGACATTTTCTGCTGGGAAGGAGCTGAATTTAAATCTATTTTATATGAGAAATAGGCGGTGTTCCGCTGGGCGCGACCCAGTGACGGAGACGTTTCGTGCCTCTTTGCGTCTGCTGTTTTTCCCCTGGAAAAGGGGACGAGGAGGAGCGAGGGGGAGAGCCACGCCAGCTCGCCCTTCTCTGCTCTGTTCTCCACGGCCTTGCAGGGATCCTGAGAACGGGAATCTTCGGGCTCGATTCCTGCTCCAGCAGGCCCCTTTCCCCTTTACACCATCTTGTCTAAAAGCAGAAAAGGGAGAGGACACTTTTTTTTGCTAAAAAAACCCCAGCAGCCTACACTCCTATGGCTGGAAACTGCAGATTTGTTGTCCCAAACCTTTTTGTGAGCCGCAGATGGCTTTGACCCGTGTCCTGCTGCGACGCGGGCCCCCGTCACCTGCTGCTGCCTGTGCTTCCCGTCCCATTCCAGACCGTCCCCGTCCTCTGCTGGGCCAGCTCTGGGGCCCGTCCCCGTCCCCCTTCTGCTTCCTGGGGCTGCCAGGGGGTTTCTGACGGGAACAGGGACAGTGGCACCGCGGCCGTCGCTCACAGCTCGGGATGCTGCGAACCAGACCCAGAAGGGAGCTGTGGGTCTCAAAGATCATTAAATTATGACTAATTTTACGAATTTAGTGGCCAGGGAGAGGGAAGAGACCAAGGCAACAGCCGCTGCCTGAGTTGACACCAAACAGATGAGACCCACAGAGGAGAAAGACCTTGGGGAATGCGGAGGGGACGATGCTGAGCTGCTTGGAGGGGGGTTTCTGGGTCTGGGTGGACGGAGCTGCGTTCACCCCGTTGCTCCGCGTTCCTCGATGGAGTTGTTGCAGGAACAACCCCTGGGATGGTTTTACATGGACTTCGAAATGGCAAAATGCCACTGCCCAGCCCTCTTCCCAGCACTTTCTTCGGGCGGTAAATACGGGGCAGAGCCGGGGGAGGGGGGAGCTGCTGGAAACCTCGCGGGCTGCTTCGTTGCTGCAGATTTTAGAAAGGAGAAAGATGTCGTTGCTCAGCTGAAACCTCTTGAAAATTCAGTTGTGAGGTTCCCTTCCTTGAGGGTCCCGGGGGATGGAGCTTGCTCGTCCGGCCCCCTCGACCCCTGAACCTGCTTTGGGCAGAGGAGAAGAGCTTCCAGGGACGCGAGGAATTATCTTCACGTTCCCCGACCAGGGATGGGAAGGCTGATCCAGTTCCTGCCCCTGCAAAGAGAACCGCTGCAGGGTGGGCACAGCCCCATATTAGACACTGGAGAGTCTCCCCAGCACGCGCCTGAAGGAAACCCAGCTTCATCCCTTCCATTGCTCATGGAACAAGTTTTTCCATTTTGCCTCTGCAAGAGAAAGAGAAGGAGGAGGAAAAAACTGCCTTTTTTTTT